TATATATAAAACAAAGTATTTCCAAATAAAGTCGTCTTACCAATAACTTAATTATGCATTATCTTTGATAAAGGGAAGAGTGGCTACAGAAGAAGAACTACTATTAGCTCATTCGCAAGATTATATTAATGCGATAAAAAAGACGGAAACATTTAAATCTAAAGAATTGGAAAGACAAGCATCCAAATATAATTCTGTTTATTTGCATAACGAAACATGGTTTTCTGCTTGCGTATCTGCTGGTTCATTACTTCAAATTGTGGACAATGTATTAAATGGAGAAGCGCAATCTGGAGTCGCGGTAATAAGACCTCCAGGACATCACGCGGAACCAAATTCAGCTTGTGGTTTTTGTATTTTTAATAATATTGCAATAGCAGCAAAATATGCTTTAAATATTCATAATATAAAGAGGTACTCACATATATGTAATATAATATAACATTATATTATCCACATTATTTATTATATATTATTTAATTTGAAATTGTAATGAGAGGGAAAATTTAAAATTAAAAATTGTTTTCATCATCTTCAGGATATTAATAGTAGATTGGGATGTACATCATGGAAATGGTACTCAATTTATTTTTGAAAATGATCCAAGCGTGCTGTATACATCTATCCATCGTTATGACAATGGAAATTTTTTTCCACATTCTAAGCAAGGCAATTACACATCTGTTGGATTAGGATCAGGAGAAGGTTATTGCGTAAATATACCATGGAATAAAGTGAGCATTACAACATATAATTTCAATATTTAACTTTCTAACAAAGATTATTTATTTCCATTTATTTATTTTCTTTTTTCCAGAAAGGAATGGGAAATGCAGAATATATAGCTGCATTTCAACAAGTTGTGATGCCGATTGCTTATCAATTTAATCCAGAATTAGTTCTAGTTTCTGCAGGCTTTGATGCTTGTATCGGAGATCCGTTAGGGGGTATGTGTTTATAAATATATATATATATATATATTTTAAAATTTTATATATATATATATATATACAATGGTATTGACAAGATCATCGAACGATATAAACAAAAAATGTTATTTTAAGGATGTACAGTAACACCAGAAATGTATGGACATTTAACGCATTGGTTATCTTCATTGGCGAATGGACGTGTTATTCTTAGCTTAGAGGGCGGTTACAATATAAATTCCATTTCTCATTCAATGGCAATATGTACAAAAGCATTACTCGGTGATCCATTACCCTTGCTAGACGCTTCGTTAATACCGTGTTCAAGTGCAATACATTCTATAAATAACGTACTCAAAGTGCAGAAGAAATATTGGTCGAGTTTAATGTTCAATTTATCGTTGCCTAAAGAAAATCTCAAAAAAATTGCTACTAATATTAAGATGAACGATCAAATTAAAAATTTTCAATTCAATCAACATTCGGAGTCGAAAATTGCCTTGGAGGGTATAGAAAGTGAAAAATTGGATATCAAGCATGCGTTTAATAAATATAGTATGAATAAAATATCGGGCGAAGAAATATTGAAACTTCAAAATGAGATAAAAAATATTAAAATAAGGGATTCTAAAATTGCGAAGGAAGAAAAAACTATAGAAATTGCTAGGGCGTGTGTAAATAAGGATCAACGAAAAGAGGGAGATAGAAAAGAGACTGCAGGAAGTTCTAATAATCCAGGAAATAGTAATGATTCTGGAGAAAATAGAGGAGCTCTTGATGAAGCTGCAGCAACAAATTTGACCGATTTTCTTTCTGATAACTGGCAGGTAATAATTTTGGAATTTCTTTGATACGCTTTCGTGATCATCTTAAAATATAAACATTTTATATACATAGGCATTAACAGATAGGAAAATGTTTGCTGTTATACCATTAAAAGAATGCCCACATTTAAATACCGTTAACAATGTACCTCCTTGCGGTATTGATATACATTTACCATGCATCGAATGTAATAGTAAGACTGAAAATTGGATTTGTCTACAATGTTACACTGTACATTGTGCAAGAAATATCAATCAGCATGCATTGTTACATTCCGATGAAACTTTGCATCCTTTGACTTTAAGTTTTAGCGACTTGTCAGTTTGGTGTTATGGATGCTCAGCTTATATTGATAATCCGGTAAGATATTTAAATTTGTTGTCAGAAAGAGAAAGAAAAATGTGTGAATTATTTATTTTAATTTCAGAGATTATACGCGGCTCGAAATGCTGCGCATCTGAGTAAATTTAATCAAGAAGCACCATGGATTTACGGGGTACAATGAATTAGTGCCATATTTTGCTCATAATTACATATAGCAGGTATAAATGAAACCAGATAATTTAATATCTTTACATGTTATCTTTACTATCAATCTTAAACACTTTACTAAATCTTTCCAAGGAAACGCGTAGCTCTTTTTTTTTTATAACAAAAAAAAATTACATTAGAAATAGATAAAAAATGTGTATACAGTGTATTCTATGCACGAAAACAAAAGGGAAAAAAAATGCAATATAAAGATAGGTCATTTTAAGCAAGCTTTATTCAAAAGTTATAATTAAAATAGTAAATGTTCATATTTTTCATTTACTTAGCAACCTGATCTCGGCCACCCCGTATATTGAAATACGTAATATAAAACTAATGTTATCACTAATTAATATAATCAAATTGAATACGTATTAAAATATTCTTTTATCGTAATATTAGAAATCGAATGATATTTATTTAACACATTGCCAAAACGTAACGACATTTATCATGTATAAAAGTTAATGTAAAACTTAGTTTATTATTGAGGAAATAATGTGAATTTTAGGGGAAAAAAAAAAAAAAAAAAAAAAATATTTTCTTAAACAGCAAATATTTTCATAAAATCCTCTATAATATATGCCAGATTAATACAGTAATTAATGAGTACATACTGTTATATATAACGTAAAAATACATTTGCTTACAAATATATAATTTTTGAATGACGAACACTTTACACTTACACCGCAATATTTACAAAAATCTAGTCGATATTTAATGTACCATTCATAATTTAAAAATACAAATAAAAAACATAAATAAAATGAAAATTAATTTTGTATTTTAAACTTACGATATGGTAAAAATGTACAATGCATTTATTAACAAAATACAAGAAGGCATAATTATTTCAAATAATTATTTAAAATTGTAGATATTTTTATATTTGTTCAATAAATTTTCGTGATCGCGATAAAATATGAAATAATTGATTAATTATATTTTTACGTTAGCACCGAATTTTTCGTCTTCTTTGCAAGTTGTGTTGAATTTTCAATCTTAATCAAAGCTAATTTAAACTGTTGGAAAAAGATGGATATATCGTTTATAAGTTGCATCAACGATTTTGGTCTAAAGATACTGATATTCTGTAAATTGAAATGTTCGTTAATCGTTTTTAAGGATGGTAATTTTTCGGTCGAAATATGCGGATAAAATGACCATACGGTATAATAGTTAAATAACAAAGAATTGTTTTGAGAATATTCAGCGAATTCTTCTATAGCGCTATAAGGCAACGTGTAATATAATCTATAAGGTATTCTTTTAAATCTAAATTTTTCTTCACATTCTTGCAATTTTTTCGTTATACTATTATAAACTTCGGTTAGATTCTTCGAACCTTGTTCGTAAAGATAAAAATCTTTGGTCAAGCGGTACTTATGATTTCCGGTGCTAATATATGTCTTATGTGTATTTCTTAAATGTAATAATGCCGTTGGTATGGGATATATGTATGATGTATATAAATGAACGTTAGTAAGGTGAGGTTTAGCTTTCAATTCGGTATTTATATGCGACGTTAAAGATAAAACTCCACCTTGATGAAGAAAACCATAAAATAAGCATAACACAATGTTACTGCAATACCAAATAATTTGCAGCTTTGTAAGCTTGTGTGTTTTATTATCTGGCTTATATTTAGTTGGATTATTTTGTTTAATATGCGAGACAGTATCAACTCCAGGCACGTGGCTTAATTTTGGAGCATATAAGAAAACTAATGGTAATATCACAGGTATTATAAAACGAGGTTCTTGATGAGGAAAGCAAGATAATAATGCTACAGGAACAATAAATGATATTGTCATTAAACTAACTATACTTTGTATCCGTGGTAATTCCAGCCATTTTCCTTTCAAACCGCTGCAAGCAATTAAAATTCATTAACATATGCATGCTATTTTCGAAAAAATATAATTATTATTAAAATAATATTTTGATAGAAAAGCGATATATATATATATATATATATATATATATTAAATTTGAATGATTATAATTTTGTTTGTATTTAAATATTCACCTGAATGACATCCTTGCAAATGTAATCAATCCAATAATTCCAAGTACATTGTATAACAGAGGTATATTTAATAAGAAATGTAAAAATCGTGGATGTAAACCATGATTTTCTAAATTTTTAGGATTGGAATTATATTTTAAGAAATTTAGCGGCGTTACCACAAAATTGTTCAAACTAATATCAAAATTTCCTATTTCTCCCATCGTTAAATAACCAAAGTAAAAACTATCGACTAGGATAAAGAAAATAGCGGTAGGTATTCCGCAAATGATAAAAGTAAATATTCTAATATGAAAATGAAGTAAACCGATACTTCTCGAACCAAGACCTCTTTGCAGCCAGAAAAAAATAGGAGGAAATGCAAATGCAACGAACGTTGGTCTATTAAATATACCGATAACAGTAATGGTAGCTATCTTAAGGCAATGATTTAAAGAATGGGAAGGTAATGATCCTAAAAGTTTATAGTATTTAACACGTTCCACACCATTTTTAGCTTGGTCGTATTTGTTAGAAAGATAATCGCTCTGTATAATGACCTAAAATGACAAAAATTTGTTATTATTGTATCAATCTAATTAGATATTTGTCAGCAATTGTGATGGATTAATTCAATTAAGTTTCCTAAATTTGTTGAAACGAAGTATTATACCTTTTCCGAATATACCATGCATTGTGAGGTATAGAACAACAGTAAGGAAGTCAATATTAATTCGATGGAGTTTGAAAAAACTCGTGTAGCATAAGTTAACATAACATAAGAACTTGCAAATGTAATCAATCTCACTTTATAGTTTTGTCCGCACATACAACATATTTTGTAGAGACAGTAGTCAGATACAAAAGATAAAATACACATAAAAAGTCTTGGAAATACGATAAGATAATACGGTGATATTAAGGATGTACCAAAGAGATTAAATCCATAGGGTGAAAGAAATTTTAAAAACGAATAAGAAGTGCCTACTAGTATCTGCGGTATGAAAATCGTTCGAATAGGAAATGTTGTATTATATTCCCATGGTTTGTATATGTCTATATCGAAACGATCTCCTGTAAGGGTAAATGTATCATCATATTTGTAATGAAAATTTGTGTTTGATAAATAATCTACTACAATAAAATGTCATTTACCTGATATAACTTCTATAGCTTGAAAGTATTCATCGGGATGTATATATCCAGTTTGTGGAACTAAAGTCAAAAGTATTCTAAATGCAGCTAATGCCCAATATAGTTTCATTTTTCTCTTTATAGGTGTAACAGGCTTATATTCGTCAATCGATCTGCGATATTCGGTTATATGGCGCATTATTGTTTAATAAAGAAATATTTAGGATTAGGATAATTATAATTTCAAAAATTATCATTCAACCATCGAATGAGAAGATTGTGCATATTCAGTTTGCCTCATATGCAGTAATCGAATGAGAACATGAAAATTAATTTTATATGTTAATACATCTTTTTAATGACAATATCATTTTTAGTATAACTCAAATGATATTTTAATTTGAATTATATCGTAAAGGAATTAACATCACTGTGATGAATTATTCATGAGAAATTCATAAAAGCCACGTTGTTTGCTTATTTCACCGTTAATACTGTCAGAAAAATGTGTGTGTTTACTTCTTGTAGTAACTGTCAGTACTGCCAAAATGACAGCATATTAAACAATAATCTATTAAAAATAACATGTCTCATAGCCAAAATCTAGAAGAACCCTAGATGATGTTAGATCAGATAAATTCAGATGTTAGATCACCATAAGTAGCTGTTCTTTTTCTTAAGAATATGTGAATTGTAAATATATTTATAATCCGTTATTAAGATGCCGCTTAAATTGACTTTAGCACACAAGCTAGTGGTTATTTAAATATATATATATATATGTTCTTTTTATTATTATAGATTGACAAGGCAGATATCTACAATTACCAAGAGAGCATTTGAAAAAAAATGTCTACTATTTACCGATAGATTTTGACAAAGAAGATTGTAAGGTAAGATGGACATCATTTATAATTGAGATTTAGAAAAAAATGTTAATTATCTATGAAGAAACAAAATAGTAAATAACTTGAAAAACGTAACTAAATGTATTTTAGAATATAGAAGCGGAAGATCGATCGACAAGGCGCTACTCATAGCGTGGGTATCGAAAAAGGGTGTAGTAGGGTGTTTAATCGGCGGCGATCGTGGGGGTGGTGGCGGCGACGGCGTCGAGAGCTCCCTATGACGTCATTTCTCTGGACTGTGGAAACAACATCTCGAAAGGGGATGGAAGCTCGTCGAGAGGGACGCCGTCTTCTTCCTTATTATTCTCGAGGACGCGATAACGGGCGTGTTAAGTGGTAACTGTGGAGGTTTGGTTGGACAAGCGGCAACGACACGATATAAAAAAAAGGAACAAGATAGGGAGAAGAACGGCGGCGGCGGCGGGGTGGCGGCGGGGCGGCGGAGGGGCGACGAAGTTCAACGCAAGTGGCCATTGAAAAGAAGATAAAAGAGTAAGAGGAAAAGAACAAAAGTCCAAAGTTGTATTCGTTAAATATCGATAATTGTCGCATTGTTGGTAGCCAGCAGTCATCGTATAACCCGGGTAACAAACGGCTCTTGACTCCGCCGTCGAGGGACGACAAGCAACAAGCGTTCTCGAGCGGCGCGCGAGACCGGGCATCGATTTAGCCGGGAAAACATGACACCGAGGAGAGACCAAAGGAGAGACCAACGTCGTCCATCCTCTGGACGTACGATAACGTGCGAAAAACAGACGGCAATTGACGGGACAGGTAAACAATTTTAAAGGGGCTCCTAAATGAAGGGTTTTCCTAAAATTTGTAAATTTCATTCGCGCACGCAAGATCTTTCGCTTTCGCACGATGCACCCTCCCAAAAAGAACAATTTATATATCAAACGTTATTTTACGAATTTTCTATCTAGCTACGTAGTATGGTACATTTGTGTCACACGCACTCACGACCATGAATGAAATTGTGACGCATTTGTATCGCATTTGTATCGCTTTCAAATGTTTGCGCGATTAATGTAGACGCGACTACTTGTAGGGCTTACGCAAAAATACGAATTTGCATGCATATGCGTTGCAATAATTGTAATACTCAAAAGAACGCACCCAACTAACCACCCACTAAATTACACGCGAAAAATTGCACGCTCGCCTAATCCACTTATCCCCCAGCACAGCCCGCTTATATCATACATGCCGCCAGCTCACCAGTTAATTACTATTAACAATATTATCGTTGCAAAAGATGTACATCGGAAAGCGAGGGACACGGCACGCCTGTAGATACCGATATGCCGGACTAGAGCGTGAGAGCGGATAGTACGCTAGAGAGAAGAGTTCAAGTTCATTCTCTTGAATTAATAATAATTATAACTTGAAAAACTATTAACAAACAAAGCGAATCGAGCAGTAGGAAGTGAGAGAGAGAGAGAGAGAGAGAGAGAGAGCGTAGGATAGACCGTAGGCTAGCGTTGTTTGCTAGCGAAAGAGTAAAGGTCGGAGAGATATTGTTGCGAATGTTAAGAAACGGGTAGAAATCGAGAGAATGAGCCACGCTCAACAGCATGTGCTTGCGAGCGCCATAGTCCTCGCTCTGATAGTGGTCTTCGGTATCCACGTCTTCCTCTTTCCCATGTACACCTCCAGTCCGGCGCCCAGGCATACGAAGATCTCATCGTACGAGCAAGCATTATGTCGAACCAATCTGAAGAACGTCAGAGTACCACCAGAATGGAGGAACCCTTGTCCGAAATATGGAATCGTCACGGCTGTTCAGGGTGGTCGACTCGGCAATCAAATTTGGGAGTATGCCTCGGTATGGGCCACTGCTAGGAGAACCGGCTTAGAACCGTTCATGCCTCGTTGCATACTCAAGACTCTCGAGGAACATTTCGAAAACCTCAGTATACCACCTTTGAGTTATATCGGAAGATGTACTCTTGATGTCGGCCAAGTGGTCAACTCGCTTGGTCAATGGAACAGCACCGAACAGAACATCATCATACCGAGGTATTTCATGAATTATTTATTCGATCATATTTCGCGTATATAGTATGGATATATTTTAGAAATGAATTAGGATGTGGATGAAATAGATAGGATACTTAGTGTACTTGGGTTAATATATGCGATATATAGGAGAGAATATTTGACAGGCACGCAGCATACTGGTCCCTGATTTTTGTCTGGTTGGACGACGTACGTCGAGAATTTACATTCAAAGCAAGTTTAAGAGCTTACGCTAATACGGTATTACGTGACGTGGCAGACAAATTCAATCTCTCCCAGCCGACTTACGTAAGCGTACACGTTAGGAGGACCGATTACGTCGATTATCTCTGGCAAAAGCTTAAAGTCAGGCCGGCACCGATAAGTTATTACTTCGCAGCGATGGACTACTTCCTCGGGAAATACGATAACGTTGTATTCGTTGTTACCAGCGACAATATAGCCTGGTGCAAATACAATCTACGTAGCAAACGTCACAGAATAAGTTTCGTTTCGGAAGCCGATGGTAGAGGACCCGGTAAGGATTTAGCTGTCTTGTCCGTATGCAATCACAGCATCATAGATTACGGCACCTACGGTTCCTTCGGAGCTATTTTAGCCGATGGCGAAACTGTCGTTTATAACGTAACCACATACTTTTCCACCTTGATCGCTGAGGCCTTACCCAAGTGGAGGATTATGAGTTGAACCAAACCATAGGATAAGATTCACAACAAAATAACCCCGAAATATAACGTTAACGAATAGTCGTTAATCCATTTCGGTGAATCCAATTGCTCTCCTTGGCAAGGTAGATTGAAACGAAAGGATAGATAGATAGATAGATAGATAGACAGATAGATAGACAGATAGATAGATAGATAGATAGATAGACAGATAGATAGATAGATAGACAGATAGATAGATAGATAGATAGATAGATAGACAGACAGATAGATAGATAGATAGATGAAAGCAAGGAATGCGGGCTAAATTTCTAATAAGATATTGAAATAAAAAGCAACCTTTGTACGTACAAATCTGGATCTTAAGATTAGTAAGTTGTGCGTGTCGTGTGCGAGTGCGGGTGCGGGTACGTGTCGTGTTACGTATTTCTTTCCTTTTTTTTTCTTTAACTTCTCTTATTTTTCCTAAACATTCCGAATTCGTGAATTCTTCCTCTTCCTCTTCAACTTGTTCGTTTCGATACTCGACAGGCTTTCTCGCATCGACTAAATTTGTTCGTAAATTTTCTTTCTCTTAAATGATGACGGTTATCGAATTTCATTCTGACGCGTCTGCAACATATACGATACGAGCCGTTATTTTTCAGAATGGTAGATCCGATTTTGCAACGAAAAATAAAATCAGAACAAATTGGCGTAGAAATTGGTTTTCTCTCGAAAATTGACGTTCCAATGGAGAAATATCTAAGAAAATGATATTTTTCAACAAATCTGCATTTGTATACATTTAATTCTGTTTTTACGCGGCAAATACGTTCCATATAAAAAGATTGCAAATCTATTCGAACAATTTGGATTTGTACATATTTTCATAAGACAATTTTTGCGACTTCGAATCGATTATTTTCCTAATGAAAAAAAAAATGAAAAAATAATAAAAAATCTGAATGAAAGACTGATTGTCGCACAAACGTTCAAATAAATCGTTAAAAAGAAGAAAAAGGAAAAGAAACAAAAAGTCTTAAGATTAATAAAGACGAACACGAGTAGCAGCCTTAAGTGCACAAACTTATGAAGATTCTTTTGTTTTGTTTTTTTCTAAACTTGAAACAAAAAAGAAAAGATAAAAAAGATTCTTACAGAAAATTAGATAGAAACGTTTATTCTTAGAGAGTTAAAATACGGATAGAAGAGAAAAATGATAAAAAATATTTAGCGAAAGATAAAATACAAAAATTATCTAATCGAATATTGCCAACAAAATAAAACAATCCAAATCCACATAAAAACAGAATTAAAGTATATAGAATCGGTCTTGTAATAGAAAAGACAAAAATAAATGATCGCTATCATTTTTTGAAACAATGGCTCATACATGGCTTCGTTTATATTATATATAAATTAATACATACAGGGTGTCCCTTAAAAGTTTGGCCCATATTTCATTAACCTATCGGGGAGACAATATATTTGGGTGGCATGAAAAGTTTTAAACCGAACATAGAAACAATGTTTTTTGATCAAAAAGTAACTTTTATTTTAAAAGAAAAAAAAAAGAATAAAAGTTATCTGTCGAGGCTGAAAACTTTTCACAACCCACCTTTTTATAAACATATTCACTCATAATTATCCTTTAATAGGTTTAAACGCAACACACAACTTCCTTTTGCAAATAATTTAACCAGAGATTGGAGTTTGGTACTTGAATAGAACGTTATTTTATTCCCCTCCGACGAGACGAAACTTCTTCAAAATGGTTCAAACTTTTTCAAACATTCTGTCTATACATTTCTATATAATTTCCTTTATCTTCTCCTTTAGGAAGGAAAAAGCAAAACAATTCCAATGAATCGTTGACAATTAGCCTAAAACAATATTTCTGCTTCCCGTATCTCTTTTTAATTAATTAAGCATGATTCATTAACTGTGTTATCCGTACAATACACGTTTACCTTGATAAAAAATAATAATAATAAGTAAAGTCGTTATTAGTCAAACCAAAAAAGCAAAATATTTATATTGGAAACAAGGAAGTTTAGGAATTGTCTCTACGAACAAATAAAATAAGCGAAAATAAAATAACGAATTAGGATCGAACATCATTTTAGAGAGTACAACATCCGTTTGTACAACATAATCGTCGAACCATTGCTGACATGCAGACACGCATACAGAACAACAATTCAATATAAACATACAAAAACAACAACAATTACAAAAAAAGAAACCAAAAAATGGATTATAATGAAACAATGGACCAGTAATAATCTAAAATTTAACGAAGACAAAATAAAATAAGAGCAGGGACAAAAAGAGAGAGAGAGAGGGGGGGGAGCAGAGAGAGAATTAATTAATTGACAAAACACAGAGATGATTATTTTTTCTACTACCATAACCGAACAAAAAAAAGATGCCACACTGATTAAAATAATAATAATATTAATTACAAAGTAATTGTTACGTGATAGATACCCTTGTGTATACCTGGGTATGTATTTATGTACGAAAAAGAAAAAGTCGAATAATAATGAACAAATAAAAAGAATAAAATACAAAATAAGCTCGAAGAGTTTATCATTTCTAAACGAATTCTACATTGATAATCGTGTACGAACGAACGAACGAACGAACGAACGAACGAACGAACGAAAGAACAAGTAATAATAATAATATATAATATGATAATTAAAATAATAATTATTAATAAGAATAAATATAATAATAATAATAATAATATGATAATAATAATGATAACGACAAAAAAGAAGAATTAACAAAATTGAACGAGCCAATCTCAAAATCATGACGAAAATTTTTCTATGCGAAACATTTCCAAATTCATTTTTTCTATTTTCCAAACATCCACAATTGACGTCTAAAAAATGTTTTGTGTATATCTAAATAGTGTTATAGAAAAAGAAAATATGAAAAAAGAAATTAAAACCAATTTGATGTATGCATTATTCGACAAGAATTGACGGGAGTGTAAGAAAGAGAAAGAGAAAAAGAGAAAGGATAGGTATATATAGACAAGATAGAATAGATATTTATATATAGAGAGAAAGGGGGAGAGAGAGAAAATGAAAAGAAAATCATTGCATAAAAAACGATGTATTTCGCGTCTACGACTTTTTATGATGTACAATGATTTTATCTGTGATTCTATTTCTTATTGTGCCAAAATTCTTAATATACATTCATACAAACATACAGATATACAAAGTTTTTCACAATATGTGAGCATAACTTCATAGGCTTTTTTTATTACACGTACCATTGCACGATTTTTGTATATAAACTCTTCTTCGGCTTTCAAATGTCTTATCTTGGATCTTCTCCCTTGTTCCAAAATACCAGATATCGTTTGAATTTACAAACAACATGTTAATAAAGTTGTATGAATTTTATTGGAAAACGAAAATGGGATAAAATTTGTATAAGGGCATGTAATTATGTGAATATTATTTTTTCTAATTTTAATATACTGAAATCACCTCGGAAATAATGTTCACGTATTGTGAAACAGCTTGTATTTTATACACACATATATAATATAAAACATACGCTCTTGGTAAAAGCGTCGATCAGTCGCATACACACATATTATATATACACATGCATACACAAGCATATATATATTACGGAAGTTATATCTATACAAGATAGTGTATAATATTTACAAAAAAAAAAGATGTAAAACAAAAATTACAAAATATTTCTTCACTTAATACGTAAGATAAGATTAAATGCTTACAAATCAATGTGTTATGTGAGAATAAATGAATCAGTGGAAGGGTGAGAAAGAAAAAAAAAAGTAGTATATTTTAAATGTCGATATATAATAAGTGTTTCAAATTTAATAACCATGTGACCTGATGTATTTGACTTATATTTTATAATAATAGATTATTAAATGTTTCTCTGCATATATATGTACATGTATGAATATACATATGTGTATATATGTATATGCATATTTATATTTATATTTATATTTATATTTATATTTATATTAGTTTATTAAACGTCTTTTTCAATGGTTCATGCCTATTAATTGTTACGCATTGAGAAATAATATATATATATATATACATATACATATATATATAACTGTATAAAATGATAATCGTTGTATACAACAAAGTAGACCATCCCAAATTGTATGGAAAAAAAATGAACAAAAAAATATAATCAGTACTGTCACCTCTCTATCTTAAAAGAAAACAAAATTAAGAGATCTTTCAAAAAGTATAGAATTTTGAGCATATATATATATATATATATATATACACACATACACGGTGTTTTCATATTATTATAATTTAAGTAAATGACATGAAAGTAATGGTAAGACTATACAACTTACAGTCATCAATGTAATCTACTTTGTATATTCTCTGTGATAACATTAGTCTAACTTAATAAAAATAGCGATGATGATTATGATGATGGTGAAGATGGTAAAGAGAAGATGAAAGAATGAAAGGAAGAAAAAAAAAAAGAACAAAAGAGAGATATGTATTTCTGCCCCTTCGCGAACTTATTTATTGTACAAAATAAAGATATACCTTGTGTCAAAAAAAGATAAACTATATA